ATACTTGATTCTTTATTGTCAAAATCAAATTGTAAAACAGACACTGTGTTTGCCATCAAATCACAGAGTTACATAGTTCTGACTGTCAGTCATCACACTGGTTCTGATGGTGTTACACCGACGTAGGTTCTACCAGTTTGAACACACTTTGTTCTACAGGTCCCGTAGTTTGCAGAAAGTTGTTTGGGAAACTTTTCTCATAATTTCCTAACATGAGCAGGCATTAAGCAGTAAATTGTTGTTTTAGATATAAGGGAAATTTAGAAAGTGTTTGAGGTGCATTTAAACCTGTTCATTATATTTATATTTACTGAAGGTGAAAAAAAGAATATTATGCTTTTGTTAAGCGAAAAAAAGAAACTGACGTCAGCATGAGTTTTTAAAGAAATACTAATAAGTATTTTAAATGATATATAGATATTTAGGAGACATTTTTGTAAGTAGAACTGCTGAACTTTTATAACACAGAGTTTGCTGGGGCTTCCAAAGTAATGCATTACTGTAATCACATTACATTTGTCTGTTGCACAGTGATACAACACATGACACTTCCTAAATTCAGTAATCATTTTTCAGTTACTACGTTCATGTTGAGGTAATATTACATACTTCCTGTGCTCTTTAAAACGGTTTTTACCAACTTTGCTACCAGTTTTGTCATAAAACTTAATTTGAGAGCAGAAACGATGCGTGTATGTGCTCTTAATTAGGATATGGACCTGTACCGATAGGTTTACAGATAAGGGTTATATTGTTAACCTGCAATTACATGATGCTGCATCGCGGACAACGTTGCAAAGAAAAGTGCTGTAACGAGAACTGTAATGAATTTCAGTGAACTTTCCGCATAGAAAATAAGTAAAGTGATGCATAACTTGTTTAAAAACTAATGTGTATTATATTACTTTTGGTGAGCCCAACACTTCTTCAGAACACAAAACAAAGGAATTTCCAACGCAGCTGAAAACTGCAGGTGCACTTCGTCCACGATGCCACATCACTGCTGGCATTATGAACAATTTTGTCAAAATTTTTTAGTTATGACAAGACACAACCGAAACAACAGCTGCAACATCAAACACTATTTTCATTTCCCTCATAATTAGTAACAACCTGTGCAGGACTTTCTTGATGATAAACACACAGCTAAATAACGGCTAGCTCCTCGGAAACTATGTGAAAAGTTTCCTAAAACATTAGCTGGAAAATATGGGACCTTTAAATAAAGTGTTTCCTATTTTTAAGTGTTTGTTGTGTGGATGTGATGTTTTAAAGAGTAACTACAACCAGGCTCCAAACTCCAGCTTTACTGCCCTCTAGTGGTTGTTATGTGCTCTGTAGTGTCTCTATAATGAAGCAATGTACAGTTCTGCAGAGCTGGATGTGGTCAAAGATGTTAAAGGCCACATCCAAGTCCGTCTCTAAACCTTTTAATTAACAGATTTCAAGGCAGTGATGCTTCTCATCCACACAAGTCTTGAAGTGCAGTGAAGTTACAGTTAAAGCAAGAAAATATTAGGAGGTGAATTCCCCTCCCCACAGTGGACATTTCATGTATAAAACTAATATTTTACACTATTAAATCTGGCTTTAAAATGTTCAGATCAGCTTTAAAATCACAGTGTTTTGTCACCTCTTAACCCTCTGTCTTAATTTCATTAACAGTGAAGAGGAATTCACCTCACAATGAAGAAATTCATCGATCCGCTTAAGGTTTACTCACATTATGACAAAACTAAACAAAGCGTTAACACACACACGTTTCTGCCTTCACAGCCAAAAAAAAACCCCATGACATAAATAGAGTTAAATGTGTGGTTCTTATAGCAGAGAAATCAGCAGTGGACCAACTACATTTGTTCTGGTTCTGTGCTTGTATTTGACTCTAGTAACTCCGGTTATTTGACAACCCTGCAGATTTACTTAAATAATCCAAAAGATATAATCAACAAATAAATCATGATGCAATATTAGATCATTAGATTACTTTTCACAAGCAACCCAGCAGATATACGCAATTAAATCAGCTTTATCAGCTTCAGCCTTAAACTGATGAAGACAATGATCCAGTAATATAATACACGTTATTCTGCTTAATTTACTTTCGGTACATCTTAATGCTAAGACTTGAGCACTTTTATTCAAATGCACGACTTCTGTTGAGTTGTGTGACGTGATTTTTCTGCCGCTAAATTAAACATTAGATTATAAATTCACACCATCCCTCTAACAATAAATAATCCACAGACTTCGAGGTGAACATATAATGTTTCAGCGCTTTAAGAACCAAAAGTTGAACTCTATTAATCTGTTGTTCTACTGTGGAGGCAGAAGATTCATGTGTCTCAAATCCTAAACCAGTAAAACCAAAATGTAACAGAACCTACGTCAGTGTAACTCTGACGGCTCGTCTCTCTGCATCACAGTCCACAGTTATCCTAAAGAAGACGAGACGTGATCGTAGTTTATCTCCCGTCGATTGTGAGTCATTTCACACAAACTCACCCAAACCCTCCCAGGTCATGTCAGGGGTTTTCTTGAGAAAAATTCACTTCAAAATCCTTAAGCTTGACTCCAAGTACTTAAGAATAGGTAGTATGAGCACATTTCTGACAATGGAAATGCAGAAACGTCATAAGAATCTGTGGCAGAGCTCAACATGGTACAAATACCTAAGTATGAACTAAAAAGCACTAAATGTCACACTTTGTAGTTGCTGGAATGCTACAGATTATGAAATGCAGTGAACAAAGAAACTTAAAAAAGAAACTGAAAATACAGAGAAAATGCCTTAAAAAATCTGTTTACCAGCTTCAAACCTGTATTTAACAAGTTCTGTAGCGGTGATGTTTTTATGCACAACCAAATAACTTCTGGACATGTTGTGAGCTTTCATAATATTACACAGAATTCAAAAAATGGTTGCAAGAAAATGAAGAAACTAGTGGAGAGAGAGAGAATGATTCATTATTAATGAGATTAATTGGAAGTGTTTAGCTGCAGAACATCCTTTGGGCTCAATTTCAACCCAATCCAGTGAAAATAAACGAGGGTGAAGCTGGAAACAGAAATGAATCAGTTTTTATAAAAATATGTAAATACAGAACTTGTTTATCAATGTTTTTTTTTTAACTGTGTTTGATTACAGTTTAGTTGTGGATTCAGCTGAAGCTGTTGCACAAACCTGCTTTGGACAAATCTGGACACAAACTGCTGAACGATGCAAAACTGAACCAGAACCTGCAGCCAAAAGAAAGAAGCTAAAGGCTGGATGGACACAGTGTGACGTCTCAACGAGGTGAATGTCCTGAGCAGAGAGTTTGTCTTACGAGCACTTATCAGATATTAGTTAAATTAGATTCATCTTTCATAAGCTTCAGTGATGATTTAAAACGACCAACTTAAGCAACAGCACATTAGTTCTCATGTACGTCGATGTGCCTGTTTTGCCTGCATGAGAAAATAATTAGAGTGAGCAACTCAAAAAACAGACTATCTGGCCTGCAGCGATTTGCTAAAAAAAGGAATTAACAAGACATTGTGCCACCACAGTGTGAGTCTGAGCCTGTCCACCCCTATAAAAACCAACTGAGCTTCAGGATTTTGCATGAACTTAACAGATTTTATTTTATTTTATTTTTTGCAAGAAAATCCCTGACACGAGCTGGGAGTTTGGTGTGAGCTGATGTGAGGAGACGTCCTCGTGTTACTGAATTAATTCTCAGCTGAAAATGTTGCTTTAAGAAGATCTTACAAACTGTTCGCTAAGAACAATAATAATCAAACATGAATCAGTGAAATCTGAGTACAGTGTGTTATTAATGTAGGTACAAACACCTGCAGAGCTGCTTTTAACTAGGATTTATTACAGAATATACGATTTCTTGTGAGTATACAATTAGTAGATACAGTACTATGAGTAGTGTGCTTATCAGTTTGGATGCTGTTGATCTTTCCGTCTAGTCTATTTTATTTTTTTATTTTTTTGCTGAAAATCCGACTGTAGTTTGTCCATCTCGGTCCAGAGGACCTTTCTGTTTTCTTGGTGCATAAACTAGATGTTTTTCTGTGTTGTTGCCCTGTGAGGAGGCAGTTTATTACCAGGTGAGGCTAAAAGGTGAAACACCTGACAGGATGTGCAGCTTACCAGCATTAAAGCCCTTTAGTTGACAAGGCAGAGGGAGGAAGCTGTTTAAAAACGCACAGAGACGTCATCAGACTGAAGCCAGTCGTCAGTCTTTGATACGATCTAAGAGGCAAAAAATTCAGGCTTTGAAAATGAACTGAATGAGCCACGTCTTGTCTTATCATACACCAGGGAATCTACTCCACCGCTGGCCGTCGTTTTGTACCAAAAATGTCACCACAAAGAAACACAACTCAGTGGAAATCAACCAAGTTCTGAAGTTCTTCTGGTTTTTTAAATGTGCTTTTCTTGCTAGAAGATCAAATCAATTCCAGCTTTTATTTACACTATTTCTCAATTAACCCTCTGAACTCCAGGAGTTTGAACGTTTTTTTTTTGTTCCCATCACAATTTTTAAATTTTTTTCTCACTGTACACTCATTTTTCACTGCAACATGAAGTCCTGCACACATCTGGAAACAGAACAACCACGAAGGAGGAGAAAAGTTAGAGACACAGTTAGAATGCCATAGATCACTAAAAAAAGGAAAAAGAAAGTTTAATTATTTTACTGAATCATTTTTCCAAGTGCCTACAGATGTTAAAATGTTGGAAAACCATAGTGGCTCTGCAGATATTTTACCACTTACATGCTTTTCTCCTGTCTGCTCTGTTTAAACACATTGTGCAGTTCAGCCGAGCAGCACCTGAATGTTTGACGCCATGTGACTGTTTCTAACTGAATTTTAATGTTTTTGGTACATTTTTAAATTAAAAGTGTAGAATAAAGTTTTTTGATGATCAGTGAAACGCGTGATGAGTTTAAGGACTGCTGGAAAGTTGAAAATCCAGCATTTTTTTCCTCTTTTTACAGTTTTGGGCAACAAGTACAATTTTGGCAGTTTTCAAAAAGCTTTTCAAACCCGCCGGCAGGTTTTGGGGTTCAGAGGGTTAATACAGAGCCACTGTTGATGTGTTGCACTTTATTTATTTCCTGGTTAAATTTAGTGGTTTTAATTTCGTTTTCTATTGTAATACTGTGGTTGAATCAGAGCCTTGCAGCCGAGGCGGAGTTCCACCTGCAGCTGGTTTCAAACTGAACGGAGGGATCAGAAGTCTCCCGGAGGAGTCGAGGCCTTCTCCAGGGAGTCGTAGTGAACTTCATCAAACTGCTCGTCATCCTCCTCCTCCTCGACTTCCTCCTCGTCGTCAGAAAGGGGCGGTTTGGCCGGAGCCTCCACGGCCGGCTCGCAGGGCGGATCAGCGCTGGAGGAAGAAGTAAAAGAAAAAAACCTTTAGCCTCTCTTTTTATTACCTGCTAAAACGCTACGAAAGCCATGCTGAAAACTGTGAATAATGTGAGAAAAGGTCACACAGGAGGGATGGTTGTTTGGTAGAAATGATGCAGCTGAAAAAAAAAATAAAGAAAGGTCTGATGAGTCATGCAAAAATAATAATAATAAAAAAAAAAACCAGAGGGGAAACTGAAACACATTTCGAGGAAAACCACCGAGGCCCACAGATGAGGTCAGCAGTCACATCACATGGAAACAAACAGCAGCGGTGATGGAACAACAAGCCGGAGAGAACTCCACCACCCCCAAAGCCAACAACAGAGATAATGAAAAACTGAAAGAGGAGGCGGATGCATGGAGACCCGAAGCTCGTTCACTTACGATGGGGTTTTGGTCTCTCAGAATCGGGCGTAATCGGGCCCTGTACTGAAAGGCAGAGACAGTCCGCATGTGTCAACATTCAGCATCCAACAGCAGCCGACACATTATGCTCTGGTACGACACAAGGCAGTGAGGAAATGCTATCGACAGCTTAACCGGCTTTACTCTTATAAAATGTGCATATTTAGTTTAACACAAGTCATCAGCATTAAAAGGAATAAACAACCAAAATCATGAGTGAGATGACTGGAAGCCTCGTTTAAATTAGTCTTCTGTCCTCGTTTGTTTGACTGCATTAAACCAGAAGCAGTAAGAACGGGCTGATCGATATGGTGTCATCCAGGGTCAATATTCAAACTGATTATTGATCATCAACGAGATTATTAAAAGATATTTGCATGAAAAATGAAAATCTTGGTGTCAACATTGAAAATGACACAAACTCCAGCATCAACGTTTGTTGAAATAAGTCAAAGGAAGTTTGCAAAGTTACAGAATCTCAATTCTTCTTCTTTTTTTAACTAAAAGAACTTTTCAACATTTTCCATCAGGTGTTAACGAGCTGTTACTTGTGATGCATAACCAATAACATAATGTTGGCTGCAGCATCAACACCAAATTATCACAGTTTTTAACTTTACTATTTAATCAGGAATCTGAAAATGTATGATATCAGTAATTAGAAAAACGCTGATTATTGGGTCCAGTATTTGGCTAAACCCTAGAAATAAGTATACGTGCACCTATATTTAAGCATGTGTTTGAGGTATTTATACTGCATTTTTACTCCTTTACTGCCACTTTTCACAAGTAGTTGGACTCTAACGGTACGCTACTTCTATCTGATGCTGAAGTTACAGGTTGTGTCACCGATTTAAAATCATGAGAAACAGAATCTTCAGAATATAAACTTTGTAGGAAGCATCTCTCTCCTAAGGTTGAAGTTTGGCGGCGCCATGCTGGGAATCTCCACTAATAAACTAAATAAAATGAATAAACTAATGAAGTAAAAGAGATGTCAGACAACTACAACCAAGTCTGTGTGTGACACAAAAAGGTCGATCAAACTGAGAAGAATTGAAGGAAGATGTTAGGTTGGAGTAATTCTTTAACTGATCTAAATGCAAAAACTTCCTAAAACTAGAGACATAAAAAGAGTTTACATGTGACAGCAGGGATATAATCCAGTCAGACATATAGGTACAATACTCCGATATAGTTTAGGGTTTACAGGACAACATTTAAACAATTCAGCGCTCTGAGAACAACCATGACATACAAAATATTCACCTCTTCTGTGTGTTCTTAAAGGTCAGTGTGCAGGATTTAGCGGAATCTCGTAGTGAAATTGCAGATCAGCTAAATGCACCTCGCTTGTTTCTAAGGTTCTGTAACTACATGACGAGCTTACATACTGGATATTAGAAGTGCATTTGTTACAAAAAGAACCACATTCTGTCCATATTGTCTCAGTACTGTTGTTATCAGACGGCTCATTATATGCCAGACCGTGCATAACGAAGCCATTTTATGAAATAAACTCAGCTTTAGACCACAAACGCTGATGGAATTCAGCATTTCTAGTAACAAATAGGATCAAAAAGCAGAAATAAACACTCTGGATGAGTTATTTTACTGGAATATTAACTTTTCAGCTGCTCAAAATAAAAATAAAAAGATGTTTTGCTTCCTTTTCATCTTTGCGAGAGAAAATAAACAATTTAATTCACTGTACTGCTCATGCAACTTGAAGCTTTTAAGGTGGAACGACTTCTTTATGTAAATCAGTCAACATACCTAAAATGTAAATCCGACACCTCGGACCATTTGTTTTTACTGGCTGTCTTGGTCGATGTACACTTTAGACATGACTGGATCCTGAAGTGATAAAGAAAATGTACGTGAATTTCAACCACATCATGCAAACTGCAAATAATCTACTTTCTCGCTTGGAGAAAAAGCAGCAGCGCAACGTTTTACAAAACTACACAAAAAAAGTGAAAATGTTCCTTCCAGAACAATGTTTGGTTTGTCTGTTCTGAGCTAGAAAGACGGCGATGCAACATGTCAAATCAAACACTCTGTAGACATAAAACTCACTCTAAGGTGACAAAAACACACCAGTTCCTATTTTCAGGTGACTATAAGCAGATAAAACCCTAAATATGAGAATTATACTCCATTCCTGTTATTAGATCCCTTTGAGCCTGACACGCTGAGCCTTTAAGCTGAAGTTAAATGCAAGATTTTTACATTTCCTGAGCACTGCTCCACTCTGGCATCAGTACTTTAACCGTTTAAATGAAGTCACCAGAGGCTCCCAGTCAAACTCGGTGATGATCTTGTTTGTTTACAGCAGCGACTACTAATGATGTAGCTGCACTTAGTGAGATAATTAGGAGGTCAAACCACTACATGAACACATTTATAAAAACACAAACAGATCAGGGCTCCACACAACGCACCGCGGCTGTGTGTTCACGTGGAAATCATGACCCAGATATATTAAAATATATGTAAAGACGAGCGAGATAACACAGGCAGCTACACAGACAGGCATCTAAACCACAACACGGGGGATCCAGAAACAAACAGAAGAACAGACGCAGTGATAAAAAGTGAAAATGCTATGATTAGGACACACAAACACACACACACATACAGTTGAGTTGAAAAAGGTACCTTTGCTAGCAGCAGGAGGAGCAGACCAGTGGGTGCATGGCGGGTCGGGATGCAGTGGAAATACTACAGAACACACACACTGTACATGCAACAAGGCCGGTGGGAGGTTATGATGGGTCTCAGATCCGCAAATGTCGACATGAGAGGTGACTTCAAATGTGCGAGGAGGAGCCGCTGGTTAATGCGCTAAAGCAAAGATTCTTCTGTTAAACTTTTAGAGAAGTCTGCAAAGAAGCGCTTTAATTCTGCCACAGACACGAGCTCAGAGTCGAGAGCTTAATTAGCTGCTGCTGTGGGTTGCTCTAAAACAAAGATAATTGGCTTAGCAAGCTGGAAGAAGAACACACATTTGGCCTTGACGAGTAATTTTTGAGACAAATGAACAAAAAAAAAACAAAAAAGAGAAATTCAAAGGCTTGTGCTACAAAGGCCTTCTGCAGGGGGGGAAAAAAATAAATAAATGAGCAGAAACAACAGAAACGTCCAGCTGAATAAATTTATTTTATACCTTTTTAGAGTAGAAATTCACCATACATTTGAGGTCATCAATGGTACACGTTTTGGTGCCCCCAAAGCATGCATTATCCATAAATTCTCTACACAATATTTTGATGTTGTCTATATTCGTTTACAACAGAAAACCCCTCACAGTCAAAGCACGTCAGTGGATGTAGGAGTTATCGGGCCACAGGTGATCGGTGTGCTATCTCTGCAGGCATACCTTGGACTAGTTTAGTGGAGAAAGAAGAAACACTGGCAGCTTCCAGTCGTTTGCACTCGACTTTTGTCTCTAAATTCATCAAAACAGAGATGGGAAAAAAAAAAAAAAAAAGTAGGGTGGTTGGCAAAAGCTGAGGGGAAAGACGAGTGTTAGGTCACAGGAGAAGAGACAGCAGACATGTGCAGCAAGGACAACAGTTCTACAGTGCAAAAAGGTCCATCTGGAGTCAAGTCTCCAATCAAGTCTTGAAATATTTTTCTTTTAAAAACAAAAAATTGAAAAAAAAATGGCAGATCAGGAGAAAAAGTGAAAGCACCTGCCTCGAGAGAAAATATTCAAAGACATTAAAAGTTTGAACATTTTTGCAGTGCAGGAGGCACAGGAGAGGAGCACAGTTTCAATTTTCACCTCCTCTCTTTGGTAAAGACAGACAGAGATTTGTGTAAAAACCTCATAAAAAGCCAACAACGTTCCAGTTAGTGGACACCAGATGTGGACGGAGGGACAGCGGTTAGTACAGACAGGCGCCGACGTACAGACAAGCAGACCAGCGTCTTTATTCAGCACAGAGAGAATCAGACAAACACTTGTTTTATCTCCAAAACACGATGCTTCTTTTTTTTTTTTTCTTTTTTTCTTTAAACTCACTCGGGTTTGAAAGTCAAGCGTTTAGTAGCAAAGACAACAGTACGAGAAGGCTGAATGAGGTTTCAACTGGAAATTAACTTCTCTCCCCGTCAAGGCTGCAGAAAAAGCTGCACCTGTTTTTTCTCTGTACACTGGATAAATGCTGCGTAAAACACCGAAGATGCCGTTTAATTATCACAATACTGCTGGTGCTTCATTTGAATCTCTGGATCCAGAAGTTCATCAGCATGTTTAAAGTCCTAAGTTGCTATAAAACTACATTATTTACGTTGATTAATCCACAGTAGAGGCACGAAATCTGAATATGCTCCCAGTAGGGCTGAACAATTACTGCAAAGGCTGCAATATAGAATATAAATGATGCAGCGTTTAAACTGGTTTCATGTTTTAAATCTTTAAACAGAAGCTGGACTTGAAATATCTGTCAGAAAAACCACAGTTTGATGTTTTCTTCTCAACTGTTCAGCCCTGGTTTGAATATGGAAAGAGAAAAAAAGAAGATTAAAAATGTTGTCTTTCCAGTCTTTTAAAAATGTTGGTGATTAATTTTCCTCATCATGAACTAGAGCAGCTATAGCTTCATGTGTGAAAATTATCGTAAAAGAAAAAAAAGCTTTAAAAGGATTAAAATCATAAAATGGTTGTGAGGTCATGTGCACCGAGCCAAACAGCAGGACCAGTTGTTTTTCTTTCATGCATGAACGACAGACAGCAAAAGGCTGCGACTATCTGAATTCAGTCTGAAAACTCTTCTTGATGATTTTCTTGTCTCACATCCCAAATTTCCCCCAAAATGTTTAATTTACAGTCATAAAAATCTGACGAAAGCAGCAAATGTTTGTATTTGAGAAGCTGAGGCCAACAAATGTTTGGCGTTCTCGCTCGATAAGTTACTCAAGACACTTAATTACCACGATATCGAGCTGCTGAGCAAACGGGGACGAGGGTACGTTGACCCCATTCAGCCTTGACAATATATTCACACACACACCACGATAGAAAGTCGAAGGACCCCGAGCACCTGCGATAGTGTGTCTGAGCGCAGCGTCCCTCCGAGTTCAAAAAGGCCGAAAACGTTACAGTAAGTTTGTGTGCACAGAGAGTCAGAAATATAGACTATTACTTGGATAAGGTGCGTTTTTCATAGATACTGTATGACAAGCACTTCTGTATGGCACATTTATGTACAGTAAACATGTTCTCGGTTCCATACGTTGAAACATTTACATAAGCTGTTCACTACTCGCGATACAGGGCCTCTTATGTCAGAGGAATACAAAAACCTCACAGCATGAAAAGGTAAAATTACTGTTAAATACTGAAAGATCCAGTAAAAGATTGTTATGTTGCTTCTTGTTTTTTTTTTTTTTTCCTTTTTACATTATGAAAATCCTCTTTGGGATCGACAACTTAAATCTAACACCCTGATTTACACATACCCTTTACATTGTCATTCCAAACGGAGAGCACTGACATTTGTGGAAAATCAGGTTTCCTTTGGTGGGGAAATATGATCCCCGGCAATATACAAAAGAAATGTACATGCATGAAAGACAAGCAAAAGATACATTTTCCTCAGAGAAAATGTCCATCACGATGACTCTGATGGCGCAAAAAGTTCCGCTCTGGTTCTGGTTTGGCTTGGCGTGGCTGCGCACCGAAGCTTCGCCGGCGGCCCAGTGTGGCAACGGGCCGGTTAGACGGCACAGAGTGACGAAGGAAGGATCAGAGAGGGGAGGAAAAGATGGAGACCCAAACCTCCTCCTCCTCCTCCTTCTTCTCCTCGCATTGAGCGGCTCTGGCAGAGTTTATTGCCGTTAAAGCAGGAGATAGGAAGGCAGGAAAGAGCGGAGGGAGGACGGGAGGGAGGTAAAAAAGGATGAGGGATGGCTGAGGGGCAGCAAGGTTCCTGTCCTATCACATCGTCTGGCTCAGTCTGTTTGTCTGTCTGTCCTCACACTGTCGAAATCAATTTGCCCTCTGTGGAACTGTGGACAAAGAGAGGGAGAGGCTTCCAGGTGGGCTGACTCAAGGAGAAACAGCAGCAAACACAACCACGGAGAGGCAAGAACAACTCGAAATAAACCCCCACAGCCTGCACACCTAACCTCCCGCGAGTGCTTTTACTTGTAGTTAACTCTGAATGCGAAGCGGGGAGGCAGGGATTGGGTGGGTGCGGTTAGCGGACGGAGGCTAGTGGAGCTGCGTGGTGCATGATGGGGGAAGAAGCAGAGAAGCATGAATGTTTCTGAACCAAAACAAAGTAAATTTAACAAAAAAAAACAAACTTAAAATGAACAGAAAACAAATGAACATGCCTTAAATCTAGTCTTACAGAGAGCAACGCTGGTTCCTGTTGGTCCTGTATGGATGGAAAACCAGCATCTTGTGCGCAATAAACATTAAACTCATATCAAACAAACAGAACCAAACAGAAAACACAAAAGAGAACAAAACGGAAACGACACTAAACTGTGTCCTGCTGCTTGTGTGTTTGCGGGTCTGCGCCAAATCCCTCGCCTCTCCATCTTCAGCTGTTTCATCGTGGTCAACTAATTCTCTTCTTCCAGCCCCGAGCCAACAGGACAAAACTCCTCTTTGGCTTCCCACCCAAAACTCTGTGAAACAACTCAACTGGCTTCTGGTATTCATACTACATTAAACATGAACTAAAACAAGTGAAGTGGATCTTACCTTGTGGGGAAGCGTGGTTCGTACTCTTCCACTGCTTGCTGTAAAGAGAGAAAACAAGGAGCGATTTAGACGCTTACTTGTGCAATTTATTCAGCCATACTTTTTTCTGTTTACCACAATACAACTACCTTTATTTTAAGTGTGTACTTTTGCATGTAGTAATATGCAGTTTGTGGTAGAAGTGAGGCATCATTTGTCTGTACACTACAACATATAACTTTAGTATTCAGTCACATCATGCTGCAACTTTTGCGCTGCTTGAAACAAAAAGAAAACTTGCACGGTTCTCATTTTCTCAAGTCTGTCGGCTTAAAAGCTTCTTGAGTACACAGTTTTATATTTAATTTTATTTAAAAGATGCTGCGTTTGTTGGCATGCAGCGTCCACGTGTGCACAAAAAACAAAAAAAAGGAGGCAAGGAACGGGAGAAAAATGCTGAAAAAAAGGAGAAGATTTGGTTGCAAAAAGAAAAGCAATGTCAAAAGTTGGAGCGTTTAAACGAGCAGCACAAACCTCTGTCTGCTGTGCACCGTATGAGAAATGCTGCAAACTGCTTTCTTTGGCTTTTTATAAATGATTTTAAATCCCTAATGCACATACAGTCTAATACAAAACTCACCCCACTCCTTCTAGAATTTAAATTATTTCCAAACTGATTTCTGGTGAAAACATCTGGATTCTGTCATACTGCAGACAAACAGTTCTGATCCATGCAGCCCTATTGTGCAGCTCGAGCCTGTTTGTATTTGTGTGATGGATCTTCCGCTGTGCAGAGTGCTGTGGGTCAGAAAAGCATGCTGGCTCGCCTGCGACTGGACGTAGTCGAACAATCTGGTATTTCTGGCAAACTGCATTCAACGTTCTATGTAACGTGACACACTAAATATTTTTTTCTGCCCTTCTATTGTATGAGACCGTTGCAATGAGCACCGCAGCCAGCAGGTGGCAACAGAGAAACACAGCTGAAGACACTCGGCAGCATCTCAGCAGAGTCACCGTGCGACTACAAACCTAACTTGGAAATGTTAAAGTCGTGTTTTCTAGTCAAAGAAGGAGAAATAATAATATGTTTAGTCACCCACTTTCCAGTTCTCTCACAGCTTTTTGATCTATTTTGGTGATTGGCTGATCAACTACGAGCTCTATACTGCAACTTGGTCAGTGTAACCTTCTATAAAAACTCCCTTCTCAACCAAAATTACACGCATTGTTGACGGTTAATATCTAATGATGGATAACTTCTGACCTACAAATCCTCACATCAGAGCTTCCTGGCCACAACATGTCATAAGCTTAAACAAAGTCCTCCTTAAATGTCAGCAGAGATGTTTCCATCCTTAAACGCAGCGAAACGCCGGAAAGAACAATTTAAGTTGTTACATGACTACTGAGCAATTAGGCATCGCCCACATGTAATGTTCCAGGTGAGGCGTAGGAGGGGAGCTGGGCTGATACAGAAGGGTTTAGCGTTGCATAAGTCTACTTCTGCAAAATTAACCTCCCTCCCTCGCCACCACTGCTGCCTTTATTTTTTTATTTCCTGCAGTCAGCTGGGCGAGAGCTGCCTCCGTTATCAACCGATGCCTGTCAGAAGCGCTTCCCTCGGAGACGGAGGCAGCCAGGCGCAGAGGAAGACTTCTGCCACGTCTCGCACTCGACCCTCCGTAAGCAGGAACGTGTGAAGCCGAGTAGAACTGATTCCTGCGTTTATGTAAGCTAATGTAGCAGAGGAGCTCGAACTCGAGAGCGCCGCTGGAGGAGGAGACGGGCTGTCAAAGCAGAGCCCATCCTGAGCTACCTCCAAACTTTCTGACACCAGACTGGCGCAGATCTCTGCCAGGTTTTTCGGCGACGGCTCGTGTCATGTGTGAACTCGTGTGTGGGTTGATGCCGGCGTGTTTGTTTTTGCGGTCCCCCCACCTGTGGGAAGCCTGGCACCGCCACGCTGTAGGGGCGCTGCTGTCTGCCGTGCAGCGCTGCAGCGCTCTGTGCTGCCATACGGGAGTGGATGCCGTATTCGGGGCCGGGCAGAGCCATGTCTTCCCTCTCTAGAAGGTTGCCTGTGCTGCTGCTTTTGCCGTGGTGGAGGCTGGAAATGCACAGAGAGAGAGGAAACTGTAAACATGTTGTCCCCACGGGGCAAACCGGGAACAAATCTGTGATGTCTGAGTGTTTACGGGGAAAATCTGCCAAGAAGTCGTCGGGGGAGTGTTGAATTTTGACGGTTTCACATCAGACGAGCACAAATCAATGTCTGTTTGGTATCAATTTCTATACAATAAAGAGCAAGCACGCTTTTCTCATTTGCAACTCCCCCGAGTCTTGCTCAAATCATCAAAAAGAAGAAAAACAACCATGTAGATAAATGAATAAACACCTGATTGGAGATGTTTGACGCGCCTGAGTGTGCTTCAGCAGTGAATGCCTCGTTTTTCCTGCAGAGTCTTTAATTTAACCGTTTAATTAATCACAGGGCCCCAAACACATTCATGATTTCCAGAAGAGCCCTTCAAACTGCACTTAATTTTCTCTATGTTAGACAACATCATGAGGTCTTTGAGTCATAAAGAGGCTTCGGGGGCAAATAGTGACTTTTACTTCGACAGTGTGCTTCTAATAAGGATGCAGAGGCAGTAATTTACTTTGTTTTCCTCCTAATTATTTGATGACCTGGTAAAATTGATGTCATTTTTCAAAACCGTTGTCAGTTCAAAGCACAATTACGGCCGCACGGCATTTGCAAACACTCGGTTTGTTCATTAATTTAGTACAACGGTTAAAATCTCGACACGTCACAGAAACAAAACACCTACTTGTGTACTCGCAGTTGCCTCATTGAGTCGCCGTCGTTGTCAGAAATCACCCGAGTGTAGGAGAAAGGAAACCAGCCACGCCTGCAAAGGAGGAGCACCGGAGATTAGCAACAGAGAGAAACCTACACTATAGTTATCGCTCCTGGCTCAACACTTTAGGCAAATACAGATGAATCTCTGAACTCCAAGCAGTTTCTGGATGTTTTTTTTCTGCTCCTGTCTCACTTTTCCTCAACGTGGGTTCATTTTTCACTGCAGTATAAAGTCCTGCACCTCAGTGGAAACAGAACAGCCATGACTAGAAGCAGAGAGAACTCTTTGAGAAATGTCTTTTGTACAGTATGATGTAATTATAACACCATAAAAAAACAAAAAAAAACAAAGGCGACTGCCCACAGGTGTCACCAACCATTTAAAAAAATGGAGGCTCCACATATTACAGACATTTAACTTTTTATATTTTTGCAACTTTTACAATTCGGGCGTTTTTTTTCCACTCTGAACTTCTTCCAACATCTTGCTCCCCTGCACACAGTTTCTGAGCCGTGCTGCATTTATGTTATTGATCCAGTATGTGTAATTTTTCTCCCAGTTGTTTTAAAATTTGTCATTAAACTTGTTTCCTCTCTGCTCTGAGTGAACACTGCCTGCAGTTCAGTCAAAAAGTACCTGAACTTTGTGTCCAAATCTTGTGAAAACATTTTATTTCTTAGCAAATATTTAAATCAGACACTTAGTGATTAGCTCAAGAATGCAATCTGACAATTCTGTCCATTTTCACAGCCTGGTGTCATCATGGGGATTCCTTTACAGGTAACTTGGCTTTCAAACTGGTGGGTTTTGGAGTTCAGAGAGTTCATCGACCACTGCCTGGTCCTCGTGTCTTTGAGCTGCACTCACATCCTCGTCTTCTCGTTCTCGCCGTAGTGCCAGCCGTCGCGAGCCTCGGGGACCAGCAGGGTTATCACGTCGCCCTCGGCGAAGCTCAGCAGGGTGCTGTTATCGCCGGCTGCATGGGAGAAGATGGCCTGGACACGAGTTCTTCCGTTCCTCTCCAGGCCTGCAGCCATGGAGCTGGACCGGGGCAGTGTACGGGTCTCCGCTGGTGACGGGAAAAAGACTCAGTCAGATTTCATGTTCTCTTTATCGCAACTGATTTGTGTAAAACATGGTGTGTAGCTGCCGCGCATCCACTTCCTGCTACACAACACTTGGGACAATAATATGCTTCTCTACTCAACAGTCTACATAGATTTACTAGATGTACAGCTCCCCTTTGAAATTCTAAATGGCTCCACTTTTGGTGAAGCATGTTCCTGTTCTGGATCTATTTTTACTCAGATTCTGTCTTTCTCAGTTTTAATATTGCATTTCTTTCTATTCCCACTTGCTTTGGCCCGTTTCTTATTAAAACTACACACATTGTGTGTGACAGCTTGCTGGATGCATCCCATTAGCTCTGTTTTATACCCGAGATGCAATAATACTTTTCAAGAAATATAACAGCAAATGCACCTCGCAAGCATCGAGGCCCATTTGCTGTTATAAAGCATATTGAATGCCAAGGTAAAGCTGCTTTTAAGGATGTTTTCTCGCCACTCAACACACAACAAGCTGGCGTACACTCAGCCCTGACTTTATACTGGCTCATAAAGTTGTTACAGCCAGTGAGTGATTGTGTTTTTACACATCCAGCAGATAGAACAACAAAAACATTCATTTAAAGCCATTTTTTGTCCCCTTGATGGATGTAACTCCAGTAATAATGTTTTTTAACCTTGGCCTTTACCAAAACAAGACCGACTCTTTGGCTGCTGAACGTTCCAGCTCCTTCACCAGTTAGTCTCCTCGTCTTTCTGCTGTTTGGTGCTCGATGAAAACAGCTACTAACTGAGACCGAAACAGGGCTGGTAGCAGCGCTACGACTAAACAGAACTGCAAATGTAGTCTAAAGAGGCTAAAAAGTTCTGCTGAAGAGCAGAGTTGGATGACACTTCTGCCACTTTCATGCTGCATATGGCTGCTAAGTTGAAAATTGCAGCATCTCTGTGCGTGTTGGCAGGACCGGTCCTTATCAGGGTGGATGAATTTAGAGCACAGTTGGACACCAGTGCACTGTTCTTACTTAGCTGGGTCTTGCTCTTGGCCGGGGCCACCTTGCGGACAGGCAGGGTGTTGGAGTAAACCTCCCCTCCGTGCCGCTGGGTCTGCGGCGAGGCCTTTCCCTGGGCGATCTTTCCCTCCATCCACTGCTGGTAGTCGTCTCCTCCGTGGGCTCCGGCTGTTCCGTTCATCACCGGCATCCCTCCCTCCATCAGCCTCTGCGAACGCCATCAAATTTGCATGCAGGCGATTAAGACAAACTTTTCCTCCCTTTACGTCATTCAGAGCTCTTACATAACATCTAGTTAATAATCATGAAGGTGCAGAGTGGATCTGGGTCGCGAAACGCTGATTAATAAAAATGCAATATTTGAGTGTGTGCTGGCTGAAAGATAAACATATGGAATAACGGCAAAGGAGCACCCCGGTTTTTAATTAGAATCTCAGGCCAAACCGAAGCAGTCTTTCATGTAAATCTTGAAAGATATTTCTCAGAACGGACGCCTGAGAGGCGGAGGCTGCAAAGAGCCCGAGGATGGAAGGAATTTCAAGCCTGCAACAAGCTAATTAGCACGGCTTGCTAATGATTACATTTGCATTCGACAGGGTTTTCTGAAGAGGCTCCCATGATGCAGCTGCAGCGTCCAGGGTCAACACCTCCTGACAAATTATTACAGGTCTCATTAGACACCACTTACCTGTGTGTGTGTGAGCAAGTGTGTCATTCTGTCTTTGTGAGGACCAAACTGATTTTCTAACCTTGTGAGTGAAGACATTTCTGGAAAGCATTTTGTAAATAAAAACATTTTAGAGCTTCAAATCAGCACCCAGCTGCATTTTATTCCAATTTAAAACTCTTTAAACAGCAAAAATGAAGTGAGCCACTACAGTAGTCCATAAAAAAACGTCCTTCACTTCAGCAGCCGTTTTGGAATAATTTTTCCTTCAAATAAATTACTACAAAGAGGAAAAAGCACACAAGCCTTCAGTAAGCCTAATGGTGATTTAAGGTAGGTTTGGTTTGGCCGAGCATCAGATCTGAAATTCAGAAATGTTCTGATCATATGAATGAACCATGCACAGCCTCCAGTCGCTATCCAGCACTGATGGATAAATCCTGTCTGGTTCTCTTTGAACTAAACATGCATTTCTGTGTAATATCAGTACATCTACTGATGGAAGCGTCTTTGCAATATTATTGTTTTTCAAGATATGTGCAGATACTGATGTTTTCCACATTCAAAGCAGCTGTGCTTGATCTGAATTTCCACATATGAGAAGAATCTGTACAATATCTTTAGTACTTATCTATATTTCTTGTCTATTATCTTCATATATTCCCAACATGTTTGCATTATCTTCTTATGTTACTGCAGATTTCCCCACTCTAGGATTAATTATCTTATTGTATTTTAACAAAGTTTGATGTTGGCGTGTGTGTTATTCTGAAATTTGAAACCAGGATTTTCAGTTCATTCATCAGTTTTCAGCCTCCTTGATTATCAATAATTGGTACCGACTTAAAAAGACAGAAGAGGAACCGACCTGTTGCCCCATTGGCCCGCCGGCCCGGAGCGCCGCCAGCTCCGGAGGCACCGGCAGGGGTTTAGCACCAGGGATGGGCTCAGAGATGGGCATGCCGGGGTGATGAGCACCAGGAGGAAGGGTCCCCGCGGCGCCGCTCATCTGCTGGGCCAGAAACATGGCACGGTCCGGCAGCTTGTTGGGCTCAGCACACGCCTGCTGCCACACTGGGATCTTCTGGGCTAAAAGCTCTTTACCCTGGAATAAAAGACATGAGAGGCTTCAGATTGGACTGGGTTCGTGTTTAAAGGCAGTCTTGTAAATTTAGGCCAATTTGCCAACATACCGGGCCCAATTGGACTTTTATTCAAAATGACTTCATTCCATTCTGACCACAGCTTCACAAAGCTGCAGTGAAAATGTTAATTTTAGCACGTTCAATAAATAGTTTATTAGATTTTTTTTTTCCCATTAACTCCAAAAGTACAGAACAAAGGGCTTCGCTGTTACTGCACAATTACTAAATTATTTCAGCAATAGAGCATGTTCATGTTCCTCAAACACCTTCAAAGTGAAACCAGAAATCCCTCGTGAGCAACTCATTTTAGATAATCATCTGGAGTTACATAAGAAAACAATCATGATGAGCGACATGTTTCCCATTCGAAGAGAAAAACTGTTCAGAAAAATGTTCACAATGCAAGTAAACTGCAGATTTGCATTGAATTAATATATTTTTTTCCTTTCTTTCCTGCAGGATTTTTAATATTTTGCAACCTTCAGAGGAAAAGCTGATCATATATGTGTAATACCAGAAATCCCTCATCAGCTACTTCTTTTATAGAATCATCTACTTGTTTTTTCTTTTCTGCAGGATTTTAAAATATTTTTGCAACCTTTGGGGGTAAAACTGCTTCTGTAAATGTTAGATTTTCCCCCCATGGGTGTTAATATGGAAACACATTCACACGATATTAAGCAGGCGGGAAAAAAATAACTGAAAGGAAGGAAAAGAGCAGTTTTAACTCTGAAATGAGCTGAATATCAGAAATCCTGCAGGCAAAGTGGATGTAAATCTGCACATTTATTTGCATCGTGACTTTGTGCATATGCACATTCTTTTCTGAGCATCATACACACGAGCTATATCATGATGGCTTTCTTATGTAACCCAGCATGATGATTTAAAGTAGATGTAGGCCACAGGAGACACCAGAGCGAGAGCTGCGCATCCTCTTTGTGAATCCGCTCATTTGAGAAGCTTTCCGCTGGTGCGTGAACGGCCGAGTTGCATTTCCTACATACATTATACAGCAGGCCGGTTACATAAAGATACTCCTCATTTGCATTCATCAACAGCGAATAAATGAGGGAGTCCTGAATCCATGAATAAAGAAGAAGACGCTGAGGAGAATCTGCTTCTCCAACAGTTCTAACTCGGCCAGGCTGGTGAGGAGGATAAACACAGCGTGGATCCAAGGTTGTCTGGCCCTGCTGAGTGTACGTGGGCTGCAGCGTCAGGTGTCAGGGTGTGGGCGGCATGATCAAATAAATTAACACATACACAAAGAAACAAAGTACAGCAAAAACAAATTCCTACCAACAAAGTGAGCATCACGTAACCAGGGATTCATGCTCATGCATATTTATGCTTTCCGAATTAGCTGGAAAGTTCTGTGAGAGAATCCTCTGTCAATTCATGTTTCTTGCGGCTACGAGGCTGCACAATGTGAAATCACCATCCTGAGCTGTTCTCCAATCCGACTACCTCCATCGACAACATCCAGTCTTTCTCAGTTCATCTGGCTGCTGATGGGAAAGGCGTCGTTGCGACCCCAGTTAGCTTCTCAGATAACCAAGGCAGCGTGTGGGCGTCTTTACCAGCGTGATGGTAAACATCGATTAGCAGACGGTGGCTCTTTTCTCTCCTGCTCATCAACCGGGGCGCAAGAGCTTACCGAGACTTTAAATGGGAGATTTTGCTAATTTGCAAATGTGTCCTGGAGGTAAAACAATCAAAATCAACAATAGTTTCCTCTATGCATGCAGATGGCTGAAATTTATCACTAATATTTGCAGTACAACCAGATTGAACATTCTTGCTTCCTCCCTGAACATCAGTGTGACGTCTATAGTTGATCATTTGCTTGGTCGACATGTTCTCACCTGATTAAATTCTCTTTGGTCAACAATCTCTGGTGTTATGTTCACAATTAGAAAAGCTTTGCCTCAACAGCCTTCCTGGATTAATCCATTAGTTTTGGTGGCAGGAAGAGAAAACTACCTGTGAACACCCCCGAGTTTCCACAGCTTTGAACTGACCCAACCCAACTATAACCAGATGATCTTATGTGCTGTAAATACAAGCTTTTTATGTAGATTTTGAATTTGTTGACGCTTATGAAGCTGCAGGTAGAGAGCGTTCAGTGCATCAAGACCCATCTGGTTCATGTGCAGATTTATGTTTTCCCCAGCAACCATTTCATTAGTTTTAAAGAAGGTGTGACTTTAAGGTTTGCTTTGGTTGATTACAGCCTTAATCAGTCGTACGTAGCACTTACCTTTTAGTAATCTAGCGACACTTATGCAATCACCGAACACCCGACAAAGAATGCTTTGCTCAGGCTGCACTAACACTTATTTTAAAGTTTCGTCCTGTACATAAACCCCTTTTCATTACAATTAGCGCTCCAATTAATGATTATTTTCACTCTAAATTAAGCTGCTAATTTTATATAATCATCCAGAGTTGCTTGAGAAAACAATCATAAAGTCCTTTAGTCTTGTCTTTTATCTGGACCCTGAGTCTGTAATTAAGTTTGATTGATTGATTGTCAGAAAATTCACTTAAAAAAATTAAAAATAAATCACAGCCCATCTTCTAACGTCTTGTTGTTTTTCCTGCTAACGTATTCCGTTTATTATCACACACTGTAAAGACAAGCATCAAACCCTCATCCTGAAAGAGCTGAAAATAGAAAATATTTTGCATTTTTGCTCGAGGATAAAAAAAAAAAAAGAAGAAGAAATCCATTATTTCGATAGTTGCCAGTTCTTCAAAGACTAATTTAATCTTTGTGTGCATCATCACAGCAGCAGTTTGGGTTGTGTGCTTCCTCCCTCCGTCTATCAATCACTCATTCAGACACTTTCACACCCACACAGCGACTCTGAACCGAGTGTTCCTGCAGAAGTAGGTCATTCACTCTCCTGCCGCCTCCCCCCCTTCACCCTTCTCCTCACCCACTCGCCCTCCACGTCTACATCCTCTTTCGCTTCCCTTTCGCCACTTCACATTTAACCATTGTGAGGGAGCGCCATATGGGAGAGACGAGCTTTCTCTCGTCACTTTAGTCGGATAATGTGGGACTCCTGATTGGCTGCGCCGACGCATCCGAGGAGTCCTTGGGGTCGTTTTTTTTTTTTTTCTTTTTTCAATGAAATGGGAAAGAAAAGACGAGAATAAAGCAACATACAGTGAAGGTTTTTAAATGTGGGAGATGGATGTGACCTACATTTCCATTAGTGCATTCTGTGTGATAGAATAAAGTTGTGAGCCAGTTTTCTGTACATACCGACACACTTCAATCTGTGATGACATCTTACTTAGATAACACATCCTGTACCTCAACATTTAACTGTCTGCTAAACTAGTCAAGTTCAATAAAACTATATACTCCTGTGCAACTTTGTGCTCCTGTGTCTAATATTCTGGTGTTGAAGCATCTCCGGGTTAAATCTCTGAAGGTCAAAAGCATCGCGAGGTGTCGCTTTCATGGTTTGCATTCATATTGAAAATCCAAATCAAGCTTTTGCCCTACAGCTCCCTGGGAGGTTTCTGTCCTCTCTGGCCTCACCTTCGGACCCCCGCGTTACCACTTGACAGGTGTACCGCCTCGGTCGAACTTCCCACCTGTCGCCGACCCCGGAGCGGTCACAACCAGCAGGTGAGGGGCAGTCAATGCCAAAAGCAAAGGCTTAAGTTCCCACCTCACCAGATAAGCGAAAAAAATAAAAACAAAAGCACAAAGGGTCGCTTTTGGACGTGAGGACTGCACCTGGATTTCAAACCGGACCAACGTCTTGGCTCTTTTTGCAATATTAACAAAAACAGCTCACCAAAATGTGTTTCTGTGGGGATGAAATAAAAAGGGCAGCTGCTGAATCTGACGACGGTTAGTTTAAACGTTTTTTCGGTTTCCAGAGAGTCACACTGGACGCACCCGATATGTATTAAAAAGTTATAGCACTTTTCTACTTGCAGAAACTTGGGGTTCAGGGTCTTTCCTAAAAACACTTTGGTACGCAAAAGGGCCGGGGATCGAACCACCGACCTTGCGATTTGTGTACAAACCAGAATGCATTGCACGGCTGCTTACATACACAATAAATGGAAAGTGTTGAAATGACAGATCCTATGGACACGTACCATAAGAGTTGTGGTATTTCACTTTCTAGCATTTAGATCTAGTCTTCAAAGTTGCTTTTTAGGTTTCACAGCAACACTATCATCTATTTGGAATGGTCACTTACTAACACGAGTCCCATATTCTCTCACTTTTAGCTCTATTTTTGGTCTCCACCAACCCTTGAGGGTAATATTTGGTTCTTTGGCTGTTAAAAGCTCCACTAAGTTGTTGCTAATAGTGTCGATTTACTGTTTGGTGCGAAAAATACCAGCTACTTCTTTTATAGAATCATCTACTTGTTTTTTCTTTTCTGCAG